CGCTCGAGCGAAACACGGACGTCATAATCTATCCTTTAATTCCAGTTACAGCCGAAAATAGTGCTTTAGTTAAAGAACTACAATATTTAAATAAAGAGATATAAAGAATCGAGCATTTATCTTTCCATAAATGTGAACAAAGTAAAGAGATAAAAGATATATAATTATATTTAAAATATAGTATTTTCTTATTCTTTAGATAACTTTCAGAGTCATTTCATAAAATTTAATCCTTCTTAATCTTTCCATAATATTTTTATCAACAGTCACTTCGACTTTTTTATTTTTACAGCATAATATCGTATTATACACACAAGCGTCCATTTTGCTTTACACGTGTAGCGGACGTAAAAAAGTTATTTTGTCACGTTGCCATAGCAACGAAACAAAACAAACATTACAAAATGGCGGTCGATTTGAAATAATACTTTTGGTATAGAAATTTAAATATAATGGCTCCAAAGATGAAAAATAAACAAAAAGTAGAAGCTGTGAAGCAAAAAACGATAGAAAAAATAGAAGACATTAAACCAATACCGGAAGCCATTATTTTGCAATCTCCTTTAGAAAGCATTCAAGAAAATATATTCACGAAAGGTAAATTAACATTTAAATTATATTGCAGCTCAATAATAGTTCACCAATATTCTTCATATTTTGATGAAATTATCCAGATTTTATTTGTTTAGAATATATCTATAGATTTTCATTTAAACCAATGACTATTGTGAATAATAAAAACATGTCAACATATTAAAAAAGATAAGTTTTTGAAAATAAATTATTAATTAATTTTAAATTTCATTACAGGTATTGAAAAAGTTCCAGGAATTGAACCTTTAACACTTTCTGCAGACACCCAGAAGCTTTTTAACTGTGTTATTGGTGATAATGTTACTGAAAATTCACGCATAGTTTCAATTCAGAAAGAAAATATTTTAAATGATATTAATGAAAGAAAAGAATGTTCAGAATTTTTTTCATTTTATCAAGTAATTTTGGTGAGAATAAATCTATAATAAATTTATCCTTTAATTTGCCATACTATTTAAAAATATACTTCAGCTTAATTATTATCAAAACTACAAAAATATTTGAGGTAGAGTGTTAGCAAAGCCTTTTCTATGTGGCTTACAGAATTGAGTTGATTTTGATAAAACTTTTCCATTTTTCATTAATTTTGAAAAGTAACTCAAAAATGTGATAAAAAAAAAAGAGTCATTACTTCATTTTTGAGATATGATGGGATCAAAATGACAATTCCCATTGTTTGTGATCCAAATGAGTGCGCCTAACAGAATTTAGGGGGCAAAAGAAAAAAAAAACAGCATTGAGTGTGCATAATGGAAAATAGGCAACAAAAATGAATAAAATACAAGAATAAAACAATTTATGTTGAATGTAAGAATCACCTGTTCATGTCCGGCAAGTGTAAAAGATTGCCTCTTTTGTGCCCAACAGGTGCAAGGTTACCTCTTTCTTTCCAGCAAGTGCTAGAATTATCTCTCTGTGGCTGACAAATGTAAGGATTGCCTTCTTGTATGGCCAGAAACTGTTTTCTTCTGATCACATGCAAGCATGCCCTTACAAACACGTGTAAGCACTTGGTTAAATGGTCCTTCCAAAATATGAACACTAATCATAGAAACAAAGACATAACTAATTCAAAATTTCTTGGTTCATCTGTTAATCAAATATTCAAATTGTCTTTCTGTATGCAGTAGATGAATAAAGATTTTAATTTATCAGGCTTTATGTTACATATTTTTGATACTTTCTATTGAGAGTTTAAAAATAAAAATAGGATTAACATAAATGATAATTCTTGTTGCTATCAACCAGTGGAGATACAGTAGGTTCTACTTTCCTGGCTGCTATAACAACACAGGAAAGTATTGTAATCATGTCAAATTTGATCCTCTGTTTTTTTTTACAAATTTTGACATTTTGAGACCCCCTAAATCAAAAAAAAATTAAAAAAGGAGGAAATGTTTCTTGGATGTGGCATTCTAATATCTCAGGATTAGATAGAAATGAAATCTATCTTTTTTATTTAAAGACTGTCATTCTAATAAGATAAATGAAAACATATCCATCATACTGTGTATCTCTTATTATTACAAATGTAATTTAATTTCAAAAATGGGCTTTGTTACAACACACCTCAGCTTAATTTAGCTCAGCTCTCATCTCCAGTCCAAATTCACAGCTCAGTTTGCAGCTTGTTTATCAAGACCTCAACTATTTGGAAACACTGAGCTGAGTTTTTGCTGAACTCTAGTTATAAGAATACTTTTTATTTCTTTTATTTATTTATTTTCTTTCCTTAATCTGATGCTGATTGGCCATGATAAGCTGCTGCCTTTCTTTTTGCAAAATACTTATTTTTTGTTATGTTTGTATAAATTTTTTTTATTATATTTTTCTTAAAGTTTTATTACTTCTTTATTACCTTTTATTCTTATTATTATTATTGCACCAGTTGGTCAGGTTAATATTTGTACTTAATATAATTTGTATTTATATAAATTTTTGTATTTTGTAATATTGTTGTTTTTGTTTTTCTTATACAGAGGATAATAAACCTTGTACTAAATAAATAAAATATAAACTTAAGTGTGTGCATTATACCAGGGTGGTTTATAATTAGATGAACAGTTGAAAGAACTTAATATCATTGTTCCTGTTGTTAACTAGGCATTGCTGGCCATTCTGATTATTTCAGTTTTGAAGTTTTCCCAGAACACTGCTACATACCCAATGACAGAGTTGTTGCTGTCAATCCCATGGAATGTATCAATGATGTATTGTTTCATGCTGTCCATGTCCAGAAAATTTGGCTTCCAAGGAGCACCTTGTCATTGATGACCCCAAAATGAAGAAATCCATGGGAATAGGTTATGCCACCACTAATAAAAAATATACTAAGTAAGTGCCTTCTGTCCATCTACTTATAAGCCATCCTGTAATATTTATTTTATAAGTGATTTATAAATTTAATTTTTAATTTAACTTGCAAATTTTTTTCATGAAGGAATATCCAGATGATGAATTGAAATTAGTATATGACTGTGATTCTAAAAATAGTCATAATTTTTACTTATATGTATCAAAGAAAATGGCAGAAAATATTAATAATGAAATTCTAGTAAGTGTTTTTTATTATACCAATAGTAATTTTTGAATTATAAAATACAGGGTAATTCAGAACATATCAACAGGACTTACAGCTATATTCACCACCTCAAGTAAAGTCTAGAGTAAGATTTAAATCAAGTTTAGTTAAAATCAGTATTCACTATGCATTAATTGAGCTGTGGATTTTGAAAGAGGGGCAAGTCCATTTTGTGAAAAAAATAGTTAAAGCTAATTCTTAATACAAGTTAACAATAAATTTTAATATAAAAACAAAACATAAAAATTAACAATAAATATCTTTTAATACAGTATCAGTATGAATTTGTTACTAGTAATTTATATTGTCAACAAGTGAGGCAGGTCAACTCTAAAGAAAAATATGAAGATATGATGGATTTATTACCCTATGTACCATTTATCATGAACACTTTAAAAATCTGCACCATCTTAACTAAGAAATATAATTATATGCATGCAACTTATTACTAAATATTTTTTATTATTTTCTCCACTTTTTCCTATAAAATTAAATTTATTTTTTGTTTCATTGTAGCTTTTTGAAAAAAGTATGAAATGTTGAAATAAAATAAATAAGTAAATAAATAAAATATTCAATTTTTTGTTGTTATAACTATATTCCATTCAAGGAAAAGCAACATTTTCACAAATCAGTGCTTTTGAAAGTGAGGCAAGTTCATTGGTGCCTACCAAAACCATGATTTTTTTCATCTAACACAGATAACCATCATTGCATATTAAAATTACACAAAATAAAACCAAAAAATATAAAATAAGTCTATTACTGCTTACAAATATTTTTAAACTCATTCAAATGCAAACTATTAATTAAATATCCAGCAATAACATAAAATGGACTTGCCTTTCAAAATCAACAGCTCAATTGTAGATTTAACTCTTAAATCTTTATTGAGATTTAGATCACCACTATATGAGTTAATTCTCAAAGTATAGATTCACAAATGCACTATTTGAATTCTTTGTGAAACGATATGGATGTATTTGATTTTTACAATGATTTTAAGCTTGACAAGTTGAAAATAAGCAATGATGCTATGAGTGATGAATAAACAATTAATTTAGATAAATGATTTGGATTATCTTCATATGATTTCCAATTTTAAAAAAATTAAAAATTTCCTCCTTTTTTTACTTGATCTTTATTTGCTTTAGTTATTTTTTAAGTTTTTGAACAAGACAACAATTGCTTACTATTTTGTATATTATAATTTCCTAGTAACCATATATTCTCTATATTTGTCTGTATACAGTATTTGTTATTGCATTTACTTTTATATTTTACAACTAATTCTAATAATACTTTTGTCTCAAAGTTAACATAATTTCTTTCACTATTGGAAATCAATCTATTTTGTCTATTAAACTTTGAAATTATGTGTTTAGTTTATGCATGACAATTTGGCAGACATGTCGTGAAGCACTTGGACAAATTGGAGCGATTAAAACATAGCTTTTTCTTTTAATTTGAGATTTCATAATTCAGTATAAGATTGGGTTGAATATAAAAAGTAAAGAAACTCTTAGAAATCTAGAGTTACCAGCTCAAAATCTCATATTATGACACACTCAGTTTAAAAACATTGTTGGTGAATATGGACACTAGGGGCTGAGTCTATGATAAATTTGGGAGAAAAAAATCCCATATGAACCTGAGTTCTATTTATGGAATGGAAGGACCAGAGTGGAACTGCTCTCCCAAATTTGGATAAAACAGTGGAAAAAAATTTGGCCAAAACAAGAACCTTTCTATCTTCTGACTTTTTAATCAAACAGAGAAAGTAAAAAGGCTAAGAAATTAGCAGTGATGCTAAATTAAAAATTAGTACTTTGTTTTTATTTGTGTAAGATTTCAGGCATACCAACCTCCTCTGCTCCTTAACCAAAGTGTTCCCATACCTCCATGATACTATGTTCAGTATATAAAGAGCTACAATTTTGCAAATGAAATTACATAGTAAGCATTTTGGAAAGCAATAAAAAAATTGGACAAGTAAAAAAACAAAATGTTCTCAAAATGAGTTTATTAAAAGAAACATCAGCATTATACTGGTACATTGTTTAATAAATTCATTTTGTTCAAAATGTCCTTCCCAACTATGGTGCACTTTGCAGCATGGGTGTATATTGCATATGTAGTGGAAAAGAAAGGGATGTGACAGTATGTGTACATTTAAAAAATGTAATAAGGTAAACTACTAACAAACAAGAGACTTTTTTCAAAATGTTGTAATTAATAATTAGATACCATGTGTCTATTCTTAGTGATAAAGTGCTATGTTGTTTTTACATTTAAACTCAAATACTAATAAACATAATACCCATGTTCATAAGGGATACTTTCCTTCAAATATACCATAGAATCAGCTCCTAAATCCTGTTGATACATTCTGAATCACCCTGTAATGTAAAATAATAAAATTTAAGATTAATATTGTATTGTATTTAGAGGATTTGATCCCGGGATCTCGACAACTTTTCAGTTCCAAAATTTTCGGGATTAAGTTTTCCTAATCCCGAGATTTTCGGGATTGACATCATTTTAAAAAAGTTGCAAAATAGACTGCACGAAGCGAAACGTTCAGTGCCAGTGCTTTTAACAGAATTGCTTGCTTATCATTTTAATATAAAATACAAGAAATTTTATTCCAAGCAAGCAGCAGAAATTAACCTAGTGGGCTTGCGATGCTTGCTTGGAATAAAACTTCTTGTATTTTCAACTAAAATGATAGGCAAGCAGTTCTCACTGGGTTACTTGGTAATATACTTCATTTTTGTATTTTTGAATTTTCGCCGGCGCCAATCGATTTTCTGGTGCAGTCGACAGCACTACTCAGTGCGTTTTACCTGTCAATGTCTCATCCATCTTGTTTTGCCAGTGTAGTTAATATAGACCCGACGCCTCTCGCTTAGGGGGTCGACCTTAGGTGAAAAGGTTATGACCCTCGCCTTGCCCGCGATCTGTCAGNCAGGTGGACCTACTATGAGAAACTAACCCCATTCTAAGTGTTAATAATGCGAAGAAAATCTTTAAAAAAACTTTGTATCCAGGGCAGCCCGTTAGTCAGACGAAAACTTGAGACAAACTGCCAATGTTCGGTTGTTGTATTCACCCAGCAGTGATGGGTGAATATTTGAATGAAGATTGATATTTCTAATAAGAAAATAGTCCTGTAAATTACTTCAATGTTAAGCCAATAAAACTTATAAAGTATTGCTGACGTGTAGTGACTACGGAATTAAACTTTGAGCATTCACGATACATTAAATATGAATAATTTTTCTGGCTGTTAATGTCTTTAGTTACAATTCAACCGTAAACGTTCCAAATTGATGAATACATTGAAAATTTCGTCTATTGTCATTAAAAAAAAGCATTAAAACGAAAGCAATTCATCATCAGAACATATTAACAGAAAATTATGGAGAATTACATTAATATGAAATGTATGTAATGATATTTATTTATTTTATTTGTGAAGATCGCGACTGTAGATTTTTTAATATTTGAATTTGAAATTTTATACTTTTTAAAAATCTATTATATGATTTTTAATGTATTTTGGCCGTTTCGAGATATACTCTACAAAATGTAACCCTTATTTGTCATATTACTACCAGATTTCGTTTTACCACTGATAAGGCAGCGTGAACTTCATTATGGAATAGCTTTCCTTCAGTGCTAGAATAGCCAATCTATACTCGCCCTACCATACGGCGAACGGAGCAGCCGCTCCAGGCGCTAAGTCCTAGGGGGCGCCTCAGTGGTAAAAAAAAGTAAAGAAAAAAAATATTTTTTTTTACTTTTCGATATTTTAATTGCAAGCGTGTGGTCAGTATGTGAATGGCCTTATCTGTTGAGACGCGCGTGGGTCGAGTGCGTGGGCAGGGTTCTAACCCCGGGCGCCATAATAGGATCTCGCTCCATCCTAAAACTTGCCTCGGGCCGGCACTGAGTAAAACGCACCCAGAGTAGCGACACACGAGTCATCGCCGCCATGTTCTGTCGACTGTCATCACGTGACCTCTGAGTTTACATTAAGAAATGACGATTATTTCAGTTTAATAAAGGTATCGATTCATCCATCCGTCATATTCTTGAATAAAAAAAAACGAATAAAATGCATATTTAGACAATCCCATTAAAACAGTTTTTTTTTTTGTAAATTTTTTGTCTCAAAATAGGGGTGTGTCTTATACTCGTCAAAATACGATAATTTATGAAATTAAGTTTGACTCATTGTTTATGATTAAAAGTCAATTTATGAAAAAAGTCGTCTACAGCTGTTTTTCTTTTTTAAATTAAACTCTCCGCCCTGTGTGCACTAAGAGGGCCTCTTTTAGCAAGCCCGTTATGGGTTCGGCCGGGTGATGAGACCGACATATCCGATCGGATCACCCCTGAAAAATTCCTGCAGATTTTCCAACCCACCAGGATTCGAACCCGGATCCCCCGGACTGGTGGGCTGCTACCTTACCTGCTCGGCCATCCAGCCACTAAAGTTAACATTTACGTTCATTTGACCT